TTGTGAGATAAAAAGTCGCAATGACATTTAAAATTTTTATTCCAAGGCGGAAACAAGCTTCCATACATTCCATCCCAATATTACAAGAAAAAAGGCAGTAAATCAAACCTGTAAGAATTTTATGATATTTTTATAATGTGACATTTTTTTTGTATGACATTTTCCCCCCAAAAGTCTCATTAACTCTAACAGATGTTTTACTTAAGCGTTTCTTGTTATTCTTCTTGAGATCATTACTGTAATGCTGTAATTTTTACCATATTCAGAATCAGGGATGCAAACTTGTCCCCTTGCCACCGAATAGGTCATTTGTGTGATTTGTGTAGATCCGATGGGTTTTTAAAATTGCTTTCAAACAGTCCTGCGTATATTTGTGTGTGAGCTCTTGGTTTCTATCACAAATGTTTCCATACAACGTGTTTTTGCAGCGCTGAATATTGTAGCCAATCACAGGTAGGGTTGTGACGGTTATTATATAACCGTGAAACCGATGGTTATAGTTGAACACTGTCATTAGAACTCTATAACCGCCAAAACCGTGCTATTAAAATTTTTTTTTTCAAACATTTTTTTATCATAGAGAATGTTTAAATACTAATATCAGCTTACGAGGGAAACGGAGGCGGAGTTAGTGGTGCTTCGGAGGCTGCTTCGGCTGGAGATTATTCAGGAGAGGCCTGTGCCCCTTTACCGATCAGAGCGTGCACTGACACGGAGTAAAGCCTTGTTTATCCTCGACGCGTCCGCACGAGCACGAACGTGCGCCCAGTAAAAATGATGCGTTGGGTGCGCAAGACCCCATTTCGCTTGGCTGTGTGCACGGCTATTTTTGTAACAGCGCGTGCGACGCCGCATCCGAGGATGAACGACTTAAAGCTGAATCTGTCCGAGCATGTAGGCTACTACGTCTCACCGCACTGGCACCCAGTTTGCGCGTCTAAATTGCAAAGTTTTTTGTTAAGGTTTTGTTTACTGTGTGTGATTTATTTAAAGGTGCTATATGCATTTTTTAGCGGCCTCTATCGGTGATGTTTCAGATTGCAACCAATTATTACAAGAGCGCTCGTGCTCTTGCGCGTGCTCGAACACAAGAGCGGGCACTCATGGTACCGGACACACTGAGACTTTCAACACACCGGAGAAAGCGTCACACAACATGCTGGAAACTCATGTAAACTCCCACTGCAACGTTACAATAATAGGCTACTTTTATCAGCTTGACGTTGAACTAATGCTCCATGCTCGTACCATGATAACGTTACATTTGTGGTGTTAAGGCATTTCACTAACTATTCGTGTATCTTTCACAATCAGCAATGTCAACATAGGTGAATGTATAATATGATAACAAAAACGGTTAGTGACTAGACTGAACAATTTCAGTGTAACAGTAAGATCGTAGGATGTAACATTACTGTACTGAACGTGTCTGGAAATGTGTATTATAAACAATATGGTAGTAGTGGGATGAGTGACGTTAGACAGTAGATCTAGTACATAAAATAAAAGTTACATCCTAAAGCACCTACTTTTTGTTATCCTGGAACAGTCTTTTGTATTCATTTCATGTCTCATATATGTTGTAGTTTACCTTGCTATTTCATTACAGTTTACCATTATTTCAGCATATCTGAAAACTTGTAATTTATCACAATAAAAATAGCGGAGGTCTCTCCATAATTCAAACGCTCTGCCGATGTTGATCCGTGTTTTCGTCCTAAGTCGATCCGATTCACCTGTGGTCTGACGAGCTTCAGCAGATACATTTTTGTTTTGTTTTTTATATTTATGTGGAGTTTGTGTTGGAGTGTGTGTTGTGCTGGAGGCAGGTTGTTGTTTGGTGTTATCAGACTCCATGTCGTCAGCTGCAGTGCCGTCGCATAGACTGTATATGAAAGGAGAGAGGCTCGGGAGCGCGCATGCACGTCACATCCGATGGATTTCACAGAAAATCCGACCCGGAGACTTCACATATAAATAGGAATACTGGCCTTCCGAGGTAATAGCAAAACCCGACAAGTGGATCATTATAATGTGTGATTACAACCCCTTCACACACGGGCAATAAAAAAAGGATTCATTTTAAAAGAAAAGTTACATTTAGCACCTTTAAAACAAAGCACGTTCATTGCAACGTTTGTTTTTGTTAAGGATTTGTTTACTGTGTGTGATTCATTTAATGGAAAGCTCATTCACTTCTAGTTGTCTTGCTGTTCATTTTAAATAAACGTAAAGCGAGTAGCTAATCAGTGTCTGCTTGTTTATTCAAATTAAGTTGACCTATAACTAATGAACAGTTATTCAACCGACCATCCTATAACCCCCTTCCCCCAATGCCACGACGACGACAACGACGGTTATGTTACGAACCATCACATTTGACTCGCGTCATAACCGTCATCACCAATTCTGAAACCGGCACACCCCTAATCTCAGGCATGTCTGTGTAACGCAATGACCAATAAGAGGTGTTTACTGTAAGTTAGTCAGAATCTGCTCAATACCCTTCAAAACACTGTTTAACTAAGTTCTACGCTCTTGCAAATCATCTCATTATAACAAAGCGTAGACATTATGTAAATAAGAGATTTATATATATTTTTTACAAAATAATTTTGAGACTGCATAAGTCATTAAAAGTTGCATTTTCAGTTGAATTTCGGGAAAACACTTGAAACGTTTGTTGTGTTGACCTATTTCTATGACTTTTGTTTGATTTGTTCATTGCAAACAGCTGAAAGTCTGTACATTTTGCTAACAAACCTGATTTGTATTATATACAGTGTGTATTTAGATTCATTGATAATAACAGGAGTTTTTGCGTGAGTGAGCAAAGTCAGCCGCGTTATAAAGGGAGCGCTTGGTTTTTAAGATTTAAAAACATAATTGAATGATTTCTATATTTAAAATGTTATGCAATCAAGGGGAACCACCAAAGAGCTTTGACACAAATCGAACACTTCTTCTTGATATATATCATAGTAATGTGCAGTTACATTCTGCAACTTTTTCATGCATTCTGATTCATTCATATATTGTTTCTTTCGCAGGGCCATGCATCAGAAAGTCAGTTTATGTAAATATATGGCATAAACGAAATAAATACTTATGAATGAAGTACAATTTCCAGAAAAACTGAATCTTTAAGTATACATAGCAAAAGCGAATCTAGTGAAACATGCACCAAATAAATGCACCAGAAGCTTCCTAAAATATATGTTTGTTTTTTTTGTATACAAAAATACCACTGATAAAAGTAAAGTATAGAAAAAGTCTTTGGACTTAAATCTGTCATAAAAATAAAACAAACCTTTATCTGATGATGTCAGGCTATTGTTGCAAGAAAATGTATACCGAAATAGTGAATCAGTTGTATTACATAGCCATTGTCTTTAGCCATAAATTGTGGTAAATATGAATATATGTTGTTACAATGCTATTCTCTGGCTTAGTGTGTGAATTTAATCAGCTCAGTGACAGATGAAAATGATCTGTTTATATAACACTAATTAATGTGTGTTGTCATTGACAAATAAATATACACAGTTTGTATATATATATTTTATTATACTGTCTGTATGTTTTCACATAAGACATGTACTCATATACAATTACAATATAAATATTAAATATTGGAAATTACACAAAATTTAGCAAATATGCTACATAAATAGTCCATTTGGTCTAAGCTGCCTGGATCCGACTGTTGGTTGTTGACTTTGATAGCCGTCCGCTGCTTTTTTTGTGGGGCTGATCTGTCCACTCCTGCACTGTCCTGTTGAAGGAACAGACATAATCATGTAACGCTGACCAGATTTAATGAGTGATTCTTAAAGAAAATTGAAAGAAAATTTAAATAGCATAGTTAAAGGCAACGTTTACTTGTTTGAATACATTTTAAAATAAGTAAAAACTAGCAATATAAGGGACTTACAGAAGCTTCTGTGCTCCATAGACACACGCTCTTACTCCATCTGGACATGGGTGCTCCCTCGGGAGACCTGGGTGGTTGCTGTGGGGAACACGGTGGATCAAGTGTTCTCTGTGGGGTCTTGGCAGGCACAGACACTCCCTTTTGCACATTCTTCTGCTGATGCCCCCACCAATCCCTCAACTTCTCCCTCTGCTTCCTAGGGATCCTGAGTTTTGCAGAAGACACATTTTGCGAATGCTGCCTCAGTAGCTCAGGGTTTTTAGCATCTCTCTTCTCGGAGATCTTGTCAATAACAAGTACTCCCTGTGTGCAACAAACAGGCGCTATCTCAGGCTCAGGGATCTTTTGATTTTGTTCTTTTTGTTCTTTTGATCTCTTTGTGATGTTGTCAGGCATGGGTGGTCCCTGCAGAAAAGTGTAAGGCTTCTTCTGCAGCAGCTCCTGCCTTAATGGCTCAGGGATCTTAAGTTTGGGCCTAGGTCCCATCTTGTCCTGCATGGGTGCTCCATCTGAGGAGTATGTGAGCACCTTTGAGGACGCCACTGGTGCCCTCTGTAGAGACTGGATGGGCATGGGTGGTCCCTGTAGAGACTGGATGGGCATGGGTGGTCCCTGCAGAAAAGTGTAAGGCTTCTTCTGCAGCAGCTCCTGCCTTAATGGCTCAGGGATCTTAAGTTTGGGCCTAGCTCCCATCTTGTCCTGCATGGGTGCTCCATCTGAGGAGTATGTGAGCACCTTTGAGGACGCCACTGGTGCCCTCTGTAGAGACTGGATGGGCATGGGTGGTCCCTGTAGAGACTGGATGGGCATGGGTGGTCCCTGCAGAAAAGTGTAAGGCTTCTTCTGCAGCAGCTCCTGCCTTAATGGCTCAGGGATCTTAAGTTTGGGCCTAGGTCCCATCTTGTCCTGCATGGGTGCTCCATCTGAGGAGTATGTGAGCACCTTTGAGGACGCCACTGGTGCCCTCTGTAGAGACTGGATGGGCATGGGTGTTTCAAAAGAGGCATGTATCAGGTGTTTAGTCAAATGTAATGGGATCCTGAGTATTCCTCTTTGTTTGGACCCTATGGGCACAGGTGCTCCCTGTGTGGATCTGGCGGGCACAGGTGCTCCCTCTGTGGATCTGGCAGGCACAGGTGCTCCCTCTGTGGATCTGGCGGGCACAGGTGCTCTCTGTGTGGATCTGGCGGGCACAGGTGCTCTCTGTGTGGATCTGGCGGGCACAGGTGCTTCCTGTGTTGATCTGGCGGGCAAAGGTGCTTCCTGTGTTGATCTGGCGGGCACAGGTGCTTCCTGTGTTGATCTGGCGGGCACAGGTGCTCTCTGTGTGGATCTGGTGGGCACAGGTGCTTCCTGTGTGAATCTGGCGGGCACAGGTGCTCTCTGTGTTGATCTGGCGGGCACGGGTGCTCCCTGTGTTGATCTGGCGGGCACAGGTGCTTCCTGTGTGGATCTGGCGGGCACAGGTGCTTCCTGTGTGGATCTGGCGGGCACAGGTGCTTCCTGTGTGGATCTGGCGGGCACAGGTGCTCCCTGTGTTGATCTGGCGGGCACAGGTGCTTCCTGTGTGGATCTGGCGGGCACAGGTGCTTCCCGTGTTGATCTGGCGGGCACAGGTGCTTCCCGTGTTGATCTGGCGGGCACAGGTGCTTCCCGTGTTGATCTGGCGGGCACAGGTGCTTCCCGGGTTGATCTGGCAGGCACAGGTGCTCTCTGTGTGGATCTGGCGGGCACAGGTGCTTCCCGTGTGGCTCTGGCAGGCACAGGTGCTCTCTGTGTGGATCTGGCGGGCACAGGTGCTCTCTGTGTGGATCTGGCGGGCACAGGTGCTCCCTGTGTGGATCTGGAAGAGAAGGGTGCTCCCTGCGTCATCTTCTGCCTCCACTGCGGTGTGGTCTTCCGTGTTGCATCTGAGAAGCCCGAGTGCTGGAAATGAGGCTTCCCAGATGCATTACTGAAGACCAGGGATGAGGGACATGATGTTTCTCCCGCCTCCATTGTTTCCCCCCACTGGCCTGAGATGTCCCCGTACTTATAATCCTCAGGTATGGGGTCCGAAACCTCCATTATCGCCCACCACCGTCCCGCAGCAAGGGCCGTAGTAAGCTCATCTGAGTACTCAGTAGATGATGACTGCTCTGCACTCTCAAAAATGGTGGGCATGGTTGACAAACTCATATCGATGTTAGATATGTAGAAAATGAACTGGAACTGAACAATACTATTTGCAATGTATATCTGTGAAACACTATGAAAGAAAGAGAAAGGGAAGAGATGATTTGAGTAAACATACAGTACAAGAACCTGAAAGCTTGTTGTCTTAAGCCCAACGTAAACCCACATTCCGCATTTTGTCATCTGAAGTTCAACAGACATGTCCGTGTGTAGCCCAATTTTTGTGTTCGCGCTAACGGTGTGTGCTCAACAACGCATACGGTAGGTGATTGTTAAGATAGAAGAATGTTGACACGACTCAGTACTGCTCTTTGACATCTGCTAAAGTATAAATAGGAAATTGTGCAGTGTCACACTGGTCCACCAACTAATAGCTGTGCGGACACGACTGTGCACAAGATGGAGCGGAACGCGGAAAATCAAGTAGGCCTTTAATTTTCTAAAAAATACAAATAAAAATGTATACAGTGTATGCCCAGTGGCGATCCATCAGAAGAGTCAAGTGAGGCTGAGAGCCTCCTTGAAATGTATTTAAAATGAACAATGAAGCTAAAAAAGTTAATTGTTATTTTTATCAATTTACCTACTAATGTGAATAACTCCGATGCACATAACGTAAATGTATATAGTCATGTTTTATTTTGCCGGTTGTCGAGGCAAATTTGATTGATTTAAACAAATCAGCTTAAGGCAAATAAGCTTTCAGAATCACTTCAGTGTGTCATCAGATCTGCTATCATTTTGTCATTTGAATATAAATGATCTACAATTATATAAATAAAAAGATTTGATCATTATTGATTCACATATCATGCTCTCATTTCCACACAAACCAGTGTAGCCATGCCTATTTATTTATCTAAATGTAGCAACAGCTAATCTATACAATAACATTCCACAGTTTAAGCAGATTCTTCTGCAAATTATATAAAGATTCAAATTCAGATCCCCAAACCCAGTGTAAAAAGCATAGGCTACTCACTCAATCGCCGACTCGCTACAAGAAGAAAAAATCCGCTGCACTCATTATAACGTCACCGAGCGTTCTGAGGAATGCGGCGATCATTATGACGTACTCGACCGCGAGTTTGTGAGGGATGAGAGACCTAGGCTGTTTCGTTGTATTAAAAGTGAACATGCAATACAAACAAAGACTGACTTAGCATTTTTAATTCATGATTGTTGATACAAAAACTAACGCTGTTTATTTGTTAGCATTTGCAGCTGGTGCATAAACAAGACCAAGTAAAGCTGCGGATGGGTAGCCATATTTTATTATGAAGCATAACAGACCACTGAAACAAAATGAATCAACAGATATTACAATAAAAGCCCATTTCTGAAACAAATTACAATTCACAAAAAAGTTCCTCTAGGCTATCCTGGTTTTTTTCCCCTTCTATTTCTAACAATAGCCTAAGTTAAGCAACATTATCAGATGAGGAAGAGTGCTGTCCCGAACATCAGTAGGACGTTGTTTAAAATAAACAAGTTGTTAATATTACATGACTTACATTTTGATCTATATCGCCAATGAAAATAGTTCCAAATAAATCTATAAATCGTTGCGCATCTTTGAGAAACGGTTTCCCTGACTGAACTTTCCATAAGTTTAGCGGCTTTAGATGCTCTCTGAAGCGCAGACAGAGAAGCGAAACATAACGATGTCTTTTATCCAAAAAAAAACCCCCAAAAACAACAACAAAAAACTGCTTCTTTCAGGTTTTTAAATCATTATTTATGTTATAATGTATAGAGGGTTTCACGACGCGTCATCTGTAGTGTTCCTTTATCTTCGTAGTGTGGTGCCTATAATAAACTACCGACACATAAAGGTATATCTCCGAACTCGTTATTTATTACCGAGCACTAGCAGCGTTTGCTGCTCACCAGCATGTGAAAAATAACACTCACTCGCTGCTTTACGGTGACCCCCTTATAAGAACCAAGGTGGCCCTCTAGTGGAGTAAATATGGGATTACACCACAGATGTATTTAACACTGCACTACATCATCAAACCAGAAGTCGGCCATTTTGGAGGCACTGAACGTAAACAATGCCATTGAACTGAACGGACTCGCAAATTTGGCTGATTATTGCTGCTGAAAAATGGTCGAGTTTTGGTCTGGTCTAATCGGTCGCATCGGGAAAAAACATTTCGAGTTCTATCTACTGCTAAAAGTTAAAGAGAAGAGTGTAAAAAACGGATGAAAGAAGGCGTTTGTGGTGAGGCACAGCATCAGCTCATCAACCACATGACATGTGTTAATGAAGCGTTGACTATGGCTAAAATGTTGACGTATTTAACTATGGCTACATTCACACTGTCAGTCCAAATCCGATTATCTTTGTATCCGATTGGAATCTGATCTAAAATAATGTCCACACTGTGAATCGCAACTGTTCAGATCCGATGTGTGTATCCATGCAGCTCTTGGGCAATATGGCACTGACATTGTGTTGATGGAGGGGTTTGCATTTGCAATCGAGATGTCGTCTTATTTAAATTTGACAACATGGGAATGTGTAGCCGCCGCGCTGGACTACTGCGTCTTGAGCTGCAGAACTGTATGAGGATATTATGCACTACAGCTTTTTTTCCGCGCTAGTTTCAAAATATGTTTCAGAAATAATAATGTTCTGCTCGTCCGGCACTTTGCAACAACACAGAATTGTTTCGACAGCGACTTTCAGCGTGTTTCCTCTAACAACGTCTGACGTTTACATTTAACGTGAGAGTCACATACCACGCGAAATCCGATCGTTCAGACTGAAGCCGATGCCCTGATATGTGATTTGAATAGGATTTCAAACCACATATGAATGTAGCTTGAAACGGATTTCATGTGCTTTTTTGGACTGGCAATCTGAACGTAGCCTGTGTCGGGATAAGAAATAGAAGGAAGAACTGCAGTACGGGCTGGAGAAGCTAGCTCGTTCGGACCTTTACCACATATTAACTTTAGTTTGTCAAAATGTTTCGCTCTCTCCTGCTTACTAAGTCCTTCTCTATATGATTTCGCACCTACTACGTGTTTTTACCATGGTTTATTAGTGTAACAATGTGTTCAGTAGTACGTAAACAGTGCAATCCATGCCGTTGTTTACATCCGAGTGCCTCCATAATGGCCGCGCATCCGGGTTACCGCCCAGAACATGACGTTGGTGACAACCCGCCGCATACTCAATGAGTAGGTACTTAATTTCAATGAGTACTTACTTAACGAATGTACTTAATTTAAACCAAACAAGTTTAAAGTTACATTTACATTTATTCATTTAGCAGACGCTTTTATCCAAAGCGACTTACAAATGAGAACAATAGAAGCAGTTAAATTAACAGTAGGACAAAAATACGCAAGTGCTATAACCCCTCTCAGTTTAATTTTAGTGCAGTTTTTTTTTTTTTTTTTTTAAATAGAAGAGAAGAGAAAGTGTTAGTACTACTGAATCAAGTGCTGCCGGAAAAGATACGTCTTCAGCAGTTTCTTGAAAGTGGCTACTGACTCAAAAGCTCTGGTTGAGTTTGGCAGATCATTCCACCAGCAGGGAACAGTCATGGTAAAGGTCCGGGAAAGAGATTTTGTGCCTCTTTGAGATGGTACCACTAGACGACATTCGCTAGCAGAGCGCAAGTTTCTGGATGGCACATAAGTCTGAAGTAATGAGTTTAGGTAAGAGGGAGCAGTGCCAGTGGTTGTTCTGTATAGGCAAACGTCAGTGCCTTGAATTTAATGCGAGCGGCAACTGGCAACCAGTGCAATTGTGTGAGGAGAGGAGTGACGTGTGCTCTCTTTGGCTCATTAAAGACTACTGTGGCTGCAGCATTCTGGATCAGTTGCAGAGGTTTGACAGAGCAAGCTGGAAGACCAGCCAGGAGAGCATTACAATAGTCCAGTCTGGATAAAACAAGTGCTTGGACAAGGAGTTGTGTGGCATGCTCTGTTAGGAAAGGCCTGATCCTCCTAATGTTGTGCGAGGCAAATCTGCAGGACCGGGCAGTTCTAGCAATGTGGTCTGTGAATTTCAACTGATCATCAATTACAACCCCAAGGTTCCTAGCTGACGTTGATGGAGTTATGGATGACGAGCCTAGCTGAATGGAGAAGTTGTGACGAAGTGTTGGGTTGGCCGGGACCACAAGCAGCTCTGTCTTCGCAAGGTTTAGTTGAAGGTGGTGGTCCTTCATCCAGCCAGAAATGTCTGTCAGGCAGGCTGAGATACGAGCAGCTACCGTCGGATCTCAAGGTTCCTGAGTAATTTTGAGACAATGCCATCCATTAGTGACGACAGTACAGTGTTTGCTTTACTCCATATACAAATTGTCTATTTTTTTCTCTAATTTCTATTGCTTTTTGTTTTCAGTTCATAGTGTTTACCAAGTCTGATTTTCATCTCTCTACAGTTTGAGTGATTGTGAAATCACAGAGAAAGATTGTGCTGCTCTGACTTCAGCTCTGAGATCAAACCCCTCACAACTGAGAGAACTGAATCTAGATAATAGAAACCTACGAGATCCGGGTGTGAAGCTTCTCTCTGTTGTACTGGAGGATCCTGACTGTAAACTGGAGAAACTCTGGTAAGATCATCTACGGTATATCATAGTCAGACATGTTATTGTCTTCTGTAAGACTAAATCAGGGTTCCACAAATCTGGCACTGGAGGGCCGCTGCCCTACGGAGTTTAGCTCAAACCCTGATAAACTCCCCTTCCTGTAACTCTGAGGACATGGATCAGCTTGTTCAGGGTCTTTAATTAGTGTTGGATCTAAACTCTGCAGGACAGCGGCACTTCAAAACCAGATTTGAGGAACCCTGGACTAAATGCTTATGTAAATTTTAGGACTACACTGCAGAAAATAAATGTATTTTTCAGTATTTTTGTCATCTTTTCTTTTTTGTATTCTTAATTGAAGATACATTTACTTGAGAAGCAAAATGACTTAAAATATTAAGTCTTGTATACTGAAAAATTGCTTGTGTATCTTGATTAAGATACATAATTTTTAGATATTAGATATTTAGACTACGTCTGGATCAGATTCAGGACGATGAGTAGATCAAGTAGTTCAATCCAACAACACCCCCAGCGCTTCACAGTCCTATACCTCGTCCTGCGTCGACATTTCATTAAGAAACATTATCAGTTTTGATTTTACATATGCATCTGCTTACATACGTGACCCATTCTGACAAAATGAGTCGCAATGAGCAAATTTTCATGACTGAGCTACACCTGTTTGAATTTTATAGTCAAAGTCAATTTTGAAAATAATCAAGTGAAAGTTTTCTGAAGGTTCCAAAACAAAATCCTCTACCAACAATACCTTAAAATCTCTGGTAATAACACCAAATTTGGCACACATCAAGTCAAAACCAAATATCTATAGGATCAATATATATTAAACTTTTTTCCCCATGATCCCACAATTGTTTGATTAACATTAACGAAAAAGACAGCCTATACATTCGGACCTACTGTACTGCTGATCTAATATAATGTTACACATCAGATGTTTTTCTCCAACAGTTAACCAAATGTTCACTTAAGACATAGCAGATAATGTTTGCTTGAATACTCGCCAAGACAGATATTTTGAAATACTGTAATTCTGTGTAGGTATAAGTGTATATCGGGGTCACGTGCGGTCTGAGGCGTCTTTGAGGCACGTTTCGAATGTGTCAGTCAATGTGAGTAAAATAATTTAGTTTAAATCAGTATGAGTCTGAAAATCACATTTCATTGGTTCAGACTCATGCCATCGAGAATTCGCAATGAATATTCACAAAGTTGGATTGCTACGCTTTAAAACAATACCAAACTTGTGCTGAGTGAAAGAACAGTCGTCGAGAAGCGAGCAGAGAAACTGCATTTTTCATGGACAAATGAAAGGTACTCCTATCAGAAAACGTACAAATAAAGATACTTTATATATAATTTCACTCCTCCCCCACTGTTTAACTCTTTCCGGTAATAAAAAAAAGTGCACACTTCTAGTCATCACCATGACTGAATAAATTGTTCAATATTATGTATCATTTTGAATCACAGAAGCAGGTTTTGTAAATCATGTGTCTGAGTAGAAAAGGGGCCTAGTGACGCCACTGAGAAGTGCCGGTACACAAGAAAAAGTGAGGGTACACCACAGCTTAAAATATAGAAGTGCTGGTGCGTACCGGCCCACTTCGAGCACTGCTGGAGGCACATCATCACTACACACGGCTTATACACTAGAGAACTGTTGAGAGTACAGGAATATTACTGTGGAAACAACAAAAATCATTTAATCATTTACTGTTGACGATTTTACATGATCCAGGATTGTTAGGTTCTTCAAAGCTCATCCTGGAGTTGCTGTCATAGCAACAGGTCCGTAAGCTCAACCCTGTTTGGGAGCATCTTATTTCATGAAAACAGGATTAGATTGCATCTTTTCAAGCGCAGGCGATACTTAAAGTCTGTTCCAGCCACTGCTACTTTCTTACAAGAGTAGCCTAATGAACCAGGTACAATAATGACTTAAAATAATAATAATCATAGTAATAATAATTTAAAAACCCATTGAAAATACTATTACAATGTTGTGTAGTTTATCAAGAAACAGTTTACTCCCTGAGAGATTTATTTGTGAGGGAATAATAACTGTATTGGAGTCTTACATGATGTAGGCCTACAGTTAGTCTGAGCCGGACATTAATTTGCAGTTATTATCGGTGTGTTTTGTTGCAGCGCAGGAGATGCGGTTTACTTGTGCATGCAGTTAAATGCTCTGCCATTAGAAAAATGTTCTTGCCCCGTAAGAAACTTTAATCAATGCTGTCATTTAACAAATCTGCTTTACAGGTACAATTAAATGTATTGCTAATTACAACATTTAAATGAAAATGTAAAGTTCAAATACTGGAAATTGTGAAATAATGGAAATAATTGGGAATCATGTAACAACCAGTATATTTAATTTATCTATTATAACTTTTTCTGTCATTTTGGTTGCTTGGCTGTTTCCTTATAAAGGTCTAGAAATGTTTCCGTCAGGTGTGTGATGTTCTTTTTTAATTTGATGCCATTGCGTTTCTCTCTTGCTGTCTGAAATCATTGAAAAAGTTTTTGTTTGTTTGAGCCTTCACAACATCAGTGGATCAATAATTAACAAACAACAAAAGAAGATTATCTTTCATCTGTGTTTCTCCTATTATTAAACTGCCAATATAAACTGGGATTTTTGGAGCACATGTGTTGAAAGCTTTTTGAATTTTTTTATTATTTGTTTATGACTGTTATAAATCTCCAATGAAAATTTAGACATTTAATAGTCTGTGTAGAATCGTGGCTTGTAGTGTTGATCTGAACTGAGAGTGAAGAGTGTGTCATTGTTCTCTACAGGTTGAGGGATTGTGGAGTCACAGATGAAGGTTTTGCTGCTCTGACTTCAGCTCTGAGATCAAACCCCTCACACCTGAGACTACTGGATCTGTCTGGGAATAAACTAGGAGATTCAGTTCCTCTGCTCTCTGCTGTACTGGAGGATCCTCACTGTAAACTGGAGAATCTGTGGTAAGATTGTCTCTCTGATAGTCACACATGTCTTTGTCCTCATTTTACAAGCTAATTTTAGTCCTAAAATTCTTACTGTTCTATAAACACTAAATCTCAGCACAGAAATCACAGGTGTACACAAATGTCTAATCTCATGATCTGGTATTAGTGTTCATTTTTACATTCTTTTTAAAATGTATCCATTAGATTTAGTCAGTATTTCATTATATTCATTATATTCAATAATTTGAGTCTGTTTCACTCTGACTACAGTGACAATCCTGTTCCCCCACGTTTACTCACCAGTGTTTTCCCTAATGATGTTTCTGTGCAATAATAGTGGTTCCCAACCCTGATCCTATAGTTCCCCCAGCACTGCACAATCCTTAATCGTTGAAGTTTCTGCTTTTAACAGCTCTTTCCGTAGCTACAAAAATACAATTCTTCAAAGTAGCTTTTCAAACACTACTAATGTACTAATATGAAAGATAATAAGCAAAAGAAATGTAATAACTTCATGCTGATCTTCATGATCTTATATGCAGGTGTGTTTGGCTTCCCATACAACTCGCTACAACTAACCGCCATTGCTTAAAAGAGTTTGTGAGACGCGCCACATTAAACAGAAGTGCGGACACACAACTTCTTTTTCAAGGGAAATTAGCCATCATCAACTACCGAAATATTTTCTGATTTCAGTAATGCGTATGAATGAATTTCACCAAGGTTGATCAATGTTTTTCGTTTCACTATAGTGTTTGAAATGCTTTTCAATAATTGTTGCCTATACGGCCCTTCATACTGGAGATCTCATATTTGTCTCCTCTAAAGTTTGGAAGAGATCTCAGCAACATCACACACTGTGCTCAGATTTTTTTCCTAAACTAAAGACCCTGGTGGTCTCATATTTGTCTCCTCCAAAGTTTCAGACAAGAATGAACATTGATCTAGTTCATTTGTACAGTATGGTGTACTGGCAGTATAGCAGTTTTGTCTAATTAGTGTAGAAATATGTGAAATGCTTATAAATCATTAAATGTTTAAGTTTTATAGACCACATTATTACATTTTTCAAGTGTCCAGACATATATTGTTATCCATTCAATATGAAGAGACAATTTTATTAGTCTTTTTCATTATAATATATATTATAACATTTCTAAAGACACTTAATTACTGTTTTGGTAATAAACTCTTATGTGTTAAACTTCAAGCATGAAGTATTGCAAATAATAGAAATAAATGATGAAAATGAAATTGGTCTTAACCCCTTAAGTGTCACCATAGCCATTACATATTTAAAACAGTAATATGCTATACTAAACCTAAACTAATATTGACAAACTATATATCATTTGAAAGCTTACAATCTGTAGGTTTCATATTTGGTGATTGATTATCAAAATAAATTACAGAAGAGCCGTAATCTGTCAATTTGCAACAAGAATATTTTCATATTCCTAAGGCGTGTTAAGACCTTTATTTTGAAATAGTGATGAACATGAAAATCATGAAAGAATGGTAGAAACCTCAGTTTGTTTTCATGCCAATAGTTCAAAAGATAATATCCATTAATTTTTTTTAGAAAAAAAGGTCTGAAAATGTTTTAAATATAAAGAAATAATTGTGTCAGCGAGCTATAACGCACATGCGTGTTATTTTTATGTGATTATTAGAGGTTGAATTCATATCAAAATATGCCAAACTTCCTTTACTACTGAGTAGGATGTCTACTTCATAAATTGTATGAAAATTGTGGAAATAATGGTTCAGATCACTCAAAACACATATGGAAATGGAGGCGCCCTTATATGGGCAGTAAAAAGTTTGTTACTGCGCCCAAACAAAATCTTACTGAAAGCTAATTTTTTGAGATATCAACCTAAAATTTGAAACACAACTTGTTCAGAGTTTTGGCTTTTATTTACTTGCAGTTTTAGAGTCCACCAGGTTTTGAAAAAATATATTTTATATCAAATATGAATAATTCAATTTTTACATTTTACATTTTCATAAACTCAAACTTCTATAACTTTTTTACTGTTTCACTTTCTTAATTCACTTTCTTAATTTATTTCACTTCTACAAACATCTGCCAAATGTCTTCTTTAAAACAAGACCAATCTTACATCTATATTCCAAAGCAATTTTGAATTACAACCATTTAAGTTCGGATTGTGCATTTTCATGTTTATTCAAAAAAGGGGTCGCGACACTTAAGATAAAAGCTTCAGGTCAGGGGCATTCAGTCCGTATACTGTAAGCTGTGAATGCTCTGCTGAACCAATGCATTTAAGAGAATGGGTTCGCGGACTCGCAAATTAATATTAACACTATAAATTCCCTTGTCGTTCGAGGTGTAAAATAAAGCTTACATAATAAAATTATGCTGTACATATGTAACTGTCTGTCATTTATTTATTTGCCAATCGACTATTTTTTTTTTTTAAATAAGTGCCAGTTATAAATTAAATTAAATTTAATACATTATTAGCTAAATGTGTAATTTGTATATGTACATTTCTGAAATACATAACTTGGACACAGTCACCTCTGATAAAAGATCACTCTAAATTGTAATGTAGATGTGCATTTTCTGTGAAGCTGCTTTGAAACAGCATGTATTGTGAAAAGCGCTATACAAATAAATGTGAAATTCATTGAAAAGTTATGGAGGGTTTTGGGTAAGTGTATCCACAACGTTGGTGCCTACGTTCTGTTATTATGCATCATCATCATCATTGTTCCGCGTTCTCATTGGTTTGCTGGCATTTGGGGGATGTGAAAGGAAAGCTGACTATGAATAGAGCTTCAGGGATGACATCAAAACCTGGAAGACTAATTCGCCACTGGTTGCCTCGAATTTATGGAAGCTTGTTTCTGCCACGGGATAAAACAATTTAAAAGATAATTGTGACTTTTTATCTCGCAATTCTGACTTTTTCTTGCAATTGTTATTTATGTCACTTAATTGTGAGTTTGGCCCTGTCACAAATGGCACCATAAACACTCGCGGTCTTCCTCTGAGTCCGCACTTTCGTGACGTAACGCCGCTTTGACTGTCGGGAAGAAGTCTGCTGCGGAGCTCGCTTCAGTGTGGGCTCAGCAAAAGTGTGCATGTAGGGCACATATCGACCGCTGAGCGGCGCTCGTGAGTCCCCTTCTGAAACCTAAAATTACTAAATGGACACCCTACAGTATCATGGACTTAACGGGACGCGGAAGCCATTGTAAGTCTACAAGACTGAAAGTGCATATGAAGTGTGCCATTTGGGACAGGGCCTTTATATCTCGGTGAGTGGATTCTGACTAAATGAAACGCCTCTGATTGGCCACTGCGTTCAATAGACCAACAAACATGACTGTGATTGGCTACATTTCTCACCGCTGTAAAAACACATTGTAAATAGAAACATTTGACGTTCTCCAGAGTTCAAACACAAAAACACACTTGAGAGTTTGCTGGTATGATATTATTACAGAATCAACTGAGGGTTCTCTTGCATTCATTTGAGAGTGCTTATATTTAAATTTGACATAAATTTGACTTGGTGTTTTTACCCATGTTTTAATTTAACAAAAAATTATTTGTGATCAAGCATTAATTGACAGACGCCCTGCAGTACGGCTGCGGACACTTGTGTTAAACTGATCTGAACTGAGAGAGTGAAGAGTGTGTCATTGTTCTCTACAGGTTGAGTTATTGTGGAGTCACAGATGAAGGTTTTGCTGCTCTGACTTCAGCTCTGAGATCAAACCCCTCACACCTGAGACTACTGGATCTGACTGGGAATAAACTAGGAGATTCAGTTCCTCTGCTCTCTGCTGTACTGGAGGATCCTCACTGTAAACTGGAGAATCTGTGGTAAGATCATATATGACTCGCGCTTGAAACACAATGTAAAGCCTATATTTGAAATGTTCAGCCTTTTTCTGCTGCTGTTATTGAGCTTATTAAACTGTAAGTGATTGAACACATGAGCTGCTCTTCAGTCACATGATTCTGCAGGACTGAGTCACTGAAATACAGTCACATCACAATCAACACTTCAGTCTCTTGATTTTAAACCGACTCGATCTCAACACATTCAGAACTTAGAAATGAAGAACATGCTGGATTTATTCTTGCAGTTCATCACGTTCATCTTTCTGCAGGGACTGTTTTTAAAATATTGTTTACACAATTTAAACAAATCATTACTCCATACGTACTGTATTAGTACAGATAAAAAAAAAAGACTAGATTTTTAGTAATCATGTTTTGAGCTCTGTGACATTTTAGATCTCAGTCCAATGATCCATCAAACATTTTGATTTGTGCTTTAAGTTTGTATTTTCTCTTTAATAATGAATTCACTGCTAAACTGATCTGAACTGAGAGAGTGAAGAGTGTGTCATTGTTCTCTACAGGTTGAGGTATTGTGGAGTCACAGATGAAGGTTTTGCTGCTCTGACTTCAGCTCTGAGATCAAACCCCTCACACCTGAGACTACTGGATCTGTCTGGGAATAAACTAGGAGATTCAGTTCCTCTGCTCTCTGCTGTACTGGAGGATCCTCACTGTAAACTGGAGAATCTGAGGTTAGATATTCTCTCTGATAGTCACACATGTCTTTGTCCTCATTTTAGAAGCTAATTTTAGTCCTAAAATTCTTACTGTTCTATAAACACTAAATCTCAGCACAGAAATCACAGGTGTACACAAATGTCTAATCTCAGGATCTGGTATTAGTGTTCATTGTTACATTTAAAAAAATATTTCATTATTTAATCATTTTAGTGTGTTTCACTCTGACTACAATGACATGTTATTCAACAGTGTTTTCCCCAATGATGTTCATGTATAATAAGTCAGTGGTTCTCAACCCTGATCCTGGAGTTTCACCAGCACTGCACAGTTTAGATGTCTCTCTAATCAAACACAGCAGATTCAACTCATCAGCTCGTTAGTAAAGACTCCAAGATCTCCGGTGGGTTTGGCAGAGAAGAGAGACATCCAAAATGTGCAGTGTTGGGCTTCTGCTGGGTGGTTTCTCAGATCTAAGAATGGACTTGTGTTCTTTGCGGAGAAAGAATGAACGTGCCCAAATGAATAGTTCAATATTATGTATCATTTTGATGCAAAGAAGCAGGAAACGTAAATCTCGTTAATCTAAATCTGGAGCGCCCAAACCTGTTCCTGGAGATCTACCTCTCTGCAGAGTTCAGATCCAGCACACCTGAACCAGCTACTTAAGCTCTTCAGGAGCACTTCAGAATTACAGTGAGTGCTGGTTAATACAGCAGTGTTTCCCACTGTTTCTGTGGCCTGTTGCATGAAGCCAGTTTCAGTTGCTCCCCTTGTAAGTTTGAGATTATTTTGAGCAAACTCTGTTTTTTCGGGCTCAAGAAGGTGGATTGGTTTTTAGCGGGTTCCATCGCCATGGTAACTAACTTGCGCTGCAGGATGACCTTGAATAAAATAAATTTATTCTGTGGTCGAGATCACAAACCAAAACTGGACCAATCAGCTGTGAGTAAAGTGACATGTATCTGATGCAATAAAGCCACTCCGCCTGTATCTCTCACTCCAAATTAAAGCAGTTTAGGGTGAATTTTTTAAATATTTATATTATATGAATTTAATTATTTATAATTCATATAGTATATTCATATAATCATTCTCTTAATTTAAAATTAACCCTAAAAGGGGTGATGTATCCTGGGAGATACAAACATTCAAGAGGCTGTGGGGAGAAGCAGGGAAAGTGTTGGTTTCATTTCTCAGTTTTCATGTCGATCTCCAGCGACGCTCCAGTTAGCACAGCTTGACTTGGAAATTGAGCACTCACTCACTCATTACGGAAACATATGAACTAAAACATAGCTTTATATCTTGCAAATAACATCAGAATAAAACGATTAAAACATTTAAGTTAACCTTCGTGTTACTCTTGTGTGCTTTCATCTTCACGATGAGTCTGTCACAGAGTGAAGAGGTGTCGTTGTTTTTTGAGATCATTTAGATATGTTGGATTATGAAGCACAGGTGTCGAAAGCTTTTTGAATTTCTTCATAAATTCTTTTTTTGATAAAATATTTTGACTGATAAATCTCCAATTGAAATTTAGACATATTTAATAGTCTGTGTAGAATTGTGGCTTGTACGTGTTGTTGATCTGAACTGAGAGAGTGAAGAGTGTGTCATTGTTCTCTACAGGTTGAGGTATTGTGGAGTCACAGATGAAGGTTTTGCTGCTCTGACTTCAGCTCTGAGATCAAACCCCTCACACCTGAGACTACTGGATCTGACTGGGAATAAACTAGGAGATTCAGTTCCTCTGCTCTCTGCTGTACTGGAGGATCCTCACTGTAAACTGGAGAAACTGTGGTAAGATGAACTCTCTGATAAACACATATATATTTGTCCTTGCTAAATATATTCTTTATTAGTAATGTAATAGTTTAAACTTTTTTACTCATTGATCACCAACTTTGCTTGTTTCGGGTCTGAAGAAGGAGTGCAACCAAACAATTACACATCCACACAACACAAATGAGAGACAATTGAATACATTTTATTGAGAGCTCATTTTCTGTACAATTATAGTTTTACCAGGAAAACCAAAACCAGTAGTTTTGTGTGTGATTCATAGACGCTCAGTTAAACAATAAATTACAAGTGAGTGATACTTACATCAGTCCAAATGCACATTAAATAAATATTCAGTTAAATCAGTGAACATCACCGGTGAGCCAATGCTTGATTAAACATGCTAATCCTAAAACATAAATGTTATTCCCAGCATATATATATATATATATATATACTCCACATCACAAACAAGACAAAACATTACATTACACAAATACACAAAGTATAAATGTTATATTAAAACAACAGTGTTTTTGAACTGACGGTTACAACACCCATAGACTTCCATAGGAATCCAGGAATGCGGAAGTGTTTTATTGCAGTAAATTCCATTACAATAAGACAAAACAAAACTATAATACATGCCGTAAAGAACAGAGCACAAATCTATAAAAAAGGAAAAAGAAATAGAAAAAATAATATTATCAGGGACAAAAAGGCTTCAAGGCCGTCTAATAATTTACATTTCTTTAACAAATTGATTAGTCTTCCACTTTTCAATGTTGACATTCTTAAGGTTTTACAGTAAATTTAAATTCATTTATTTTTAAAACAGAAAACAATGCACTGAAAAAGTGTGTTGGATTTAAATGATTTAATCATGCACATCATTTCACATGAACCAATCAAGTTAAACAAAGATCATTTGTTCACATAATGTCAACATCATGGAATCAAGTCATTTCCAAGTAACATAATTAAGAAGTTTTAAAGTGATTTTAATATGTTTCCCTAACTGGATTAATTCATTCAATTTTACTGCATGGTATTTGTCCCTCAGTTTTACCTCGAGAACACGGAGAACCGACATCCTTTATAAAACAGTGTAGAATATAGTGGCATTCATTGCTTGTCACTACATTCAAATCACATCACACATTGCAATCTTTAATAAAAGGTAATTTTACACACCGTTTACACAGTATCATTGTTCTCTACAGGTTGAGGGATTGTGGAGTCACAGATGAAGGTTTTGCTGCTCTGACTTCAGCTCTGAGATCAAACCCCTCACACCTGAGAGAACTGGATCTGTCTGGGAATAAACTAGGAGATTCAGACATGAAGCTTCTCTCTGATCTAAAGAATGATCCACATTATAAACTGGAGACACTATATTGTAAGTGGATTATTTACTACAGATTACAAAACATGGTAATTTGTAACATTTTTCGTTAGATTACACAAGCTTTGTAACCTAATCTAAATAATTTAGAATACTTTGGAATACTAATAAGGTTTGTAACACAGAGGGTCCACCAAACATAGGACTTGGTTTCCCCTGCATATTATTTTTAACAACATCAGTTTTACAGAGTATTTCTTGAAGAAATATATATTTTTAGAAAAAAATGATAACTTTTTCTTTTTTTTTTTTACTGATGCAACACAATGCATTAAAAGCTGGGGTGTGTACACTTTTTAAATTGCATGAACAATATAAATTGTAATTATTTTGTCTTCTGCGAAACAGGGAATTATTCGCTTCTGAAGGGCAGTACTAAATGAAAAAAAGATGATCTTTAAACAAAATGTACACATCATCATAATCCTGTTTAAAGTTTACACCACCTGCTCGTAATGCATTGTTTCCTTCTTGAGCATCAGTAAATGTTTTCACCTTTTGTAATAGTTGTGTATGAGTCACTCAATTGTCCTTGATGTAAAAAGATGAATCTCAAAATCATAGTCATTGTTGGAAAGGTGTCAAATATGCAGAAGATGCTGGAAAACCTAAAAATGTGCAATACCTGGAGGATTTTTCTGAAGAACAGCGGGCAGTTTCACTGCTCAGTTATTTTTCCTGGATCCTGTAATAATAAACAATATTTGTTCTCATTATTCTGAGAACAGACACAGTCTCTATGGAATGGACTACATGTGCTATTATCATTTAATCAGTACATAGATGATGTCCGACAGCAGGTCTGCTCTGACTCTGGGCTGCAGGCCATTCTCACAGAAGAATCTTACAATTACAAGATTACAATTAATTGAGAGAGTAGTTTCTGTTCATCACATCATTCATATAATGCGAATAATCTACTGAACCTTTGGTTTCCACGAGGGTAAGTGGGAAGTGTTCCTGACACGATGATCTTTTCACAATGGTCTTGACCAGAATCTCCGACTGTCGCAGCTTGTCGTTCCCCGCGTGCGGCACAACAGCTCTGATGTTCTCCTCACCTTTACATCTCTGGCTGTAATATTAATGTACTCTGTATGTATCTCTGCCTGTGTTTGTTCTGAAATGAATCTACTGATGTGATGTGACCGCAGTAATGTCTCGTACTCCATATGTGACTGTCTGTGTGTTTAATTGTATTTTCCTCAGGGTGAGCTGATGGTGAATAAGGAGCCGCTACAGAGACGTCACAGTCAACAGAGACTGAAGACACAGAGACGTCACAGCGATCTCACTCTCGTGTTTGTGTGTGACTTCACAGCAGTTTCTTGTTTGGATCTTTTTGTGGGTCTGATTTTTTTTTTTATATCACAGATGACATCAGATTACCACAATGATCTAATAGAGGACTTGAACTCACTAATAAATAATGTAAGATTCTTCTATTTGTGATGACCCAAACTGCTGAAGACGCATCTTTTTGTAGACTAAACTGGGAATGGTCACATCACTGCCATATTGTTGGTTTTATTGCTCTCCTCATTTGTATGTCGCTTTGGATAAAAGTGTCTGGTAAATGATCACATGTAAATGTAAAATGTGCTGAAAATTGCTTTGTTATTAATTAGATATCGCACTGCTTGATTACAATGTTGATGGTGTAACTTCCAATATTCAATGACAATTAGATTATTTTAAACAAGATATAGACGGTGTATATTAGTAATTTATTATTTAGGAAAAGGTGACAGAGTTTAGAGTTTATAGATTTACAAGAATGGGATTATAGAAGAGTAATAGAAGTATTTTAAATGAATATGTCAACGGCAAATAGTGACGAAGATGATTTCATCAAACGTTAATTTTTTTTTATTATTATTTTTTTTTATATCATGACCTATAAAATTGTATCCTTAAAAAAAAAAAAAACTATCCAAAGTCCAACAACGTTTTACTGGCGGGCTTATAGCTATATAAGCCCCCATTTTCGCCATAGAATTCAGGTTAAGTCGACTGAAGCGATCCCCTGATCTAAGCACAGTAGCCGGCGGGTTACGCAATACTCGTTCCCTACTCTCAGGGAACCGAGGTTACGTTAGTAACCGAGACGTTCCCTTTCGAGGGGTCTCTTGTATTGGTTAGCTTACGCTATGGGAACCCCTTTCAAAACGCAGTGCGTGCTTAAAAACTTCACCCCAAACTATTGCCTAGGCGGCCGAGGCTCATAGAAGAGTAAAGTTATGAGTCCTAATAGAGGCCAGATCAGTAATGAGCCTCAAATAGGAAAATATAGGAATGGGCCAAGCTCCTTTTTATATGGTATATAGAACTGTGGTTCAGGTTCACCCAGGACAAGACAGACGTCGGGCCCTATAGTTGTAAAGAATTGTGCTTAGACACTATTTATACGGAAAGAACCCTTGCTTGTAAAGCGGGAACAATTATCTTCAATTGGTTTTCCACTCGACCATGCCCATGACGAGGCCATGCCTCTCGTGGAATGAGCTCTGATGCCTATGGGACAACGGAGGCCCTTAGACTCATAAGCCAGCGAGATAGCATCAACCATCCAACCTGACAGTCTCTGCTTCTTGACCGCGAAAGCTGCGTCAATGCACTTCGTAAAACGTACGGGGTGCTAGGGATAGACTGAATGGTAGGACTGTGTACTGATAAGCCTGCCCCTCGAATGCGAATCTCAAGAATGGCCTGTGATGGGGTGTTATCTGAATGTGAAAGTAAGCATCTTTCAGATCCACTGAGAAAAAACAATCCCCAGGGTGAATTTGTGATATAAGATGGGCCTGAGGCCGCCATATTTCTTTGGAACGAGGATGTAGCGACTGTAAAAGCCCGACTTGCTTAGTGATAAAGGGACCAGTAGCCAGCCTGCCACAAGTTGTAAAAGGTCAAAACTTTTTTTTCTGGTTATTTTTCAGTTGACAGAGCCATCCTTTAATTAAAGTCTTTGCACACAATTCAAAATACCTCAACTTGTTTTTTTCCAGTCCATCCTCACCTCTAAGAATATGAATATGTGATGAAAGTGTTTATACTGGGTTATTGTTCTACCAAATTAAAAACAAGGCATGGAAAGGATATCACTAGCTAAAAACTAATTTTGGACAAAGAAAATTATAACTGTAAAAAGCTATTTTACCATCAACCCATAGGAAATAAAATACCTTAAGGATTATAGCAAAAGCAGGTCCACTGACATGTTGATGCCTTGCTAAGAAAGCATGACAAATCATCAAGGGTGTTTCAGGCTATGTTAAGGTTAGGGTGTGCTGTGTTTTATGTTTGTCAAGCAATTGGGAAATAAAACGCAAAAAAAATGCAATAAATGCACAATTAAAGCCTGACTCCAACAGAAAAGGGACATGCATTCTTTGCATGGATGCAATAATTCTAAATTATAAAGCACAAGATTTTTGTGGTTCATTTTAGCAATATTTAGGATTCATCCTAAAGTGTGGCACTAGAGGGGCATTGGTAATCAAATTGTGATTTTAGTGTGCCATCCACTGTCTCTGCTATGCAACTGCAGCTCAATCAAATATGTAATCAAAACAATGTTAATATCAACAACTGTCCATTTGGAGAAAAACTAATATTAGCAAAGCATGAACTAATAGTGAAAGCAATATTACAAAAGACATCCATGTCCATTGTCCATATATAACGGGCATATATGTACATACGTATATAACGTCGAACATGGCTCATCCTCCAATCAAATCATCCATTAGGAAGTGTGATTACAATGTCATAAACAATATTTTTGGTTCAAATGATGCTGAAATTTGTGATTTTTTTTTCCCATTCGACCCTGAGTCAGGAGGAACAGCTGACCCTCAGCTGCTGAGCCCAGGATGGAGGTTTACTGGCATATCCGGCTCTCTCAGCCTCTTCTTGCTCCATAAACGGCTCCATTAAAGTCTTCTGCAACAGCGCCACCTAGAGATACATCAAAAATACTGTCACCTAAGAAAAAGACGAGCCATAATGGTCTGTCTGAAGATGTTACATTGTATGTATAATTGTCAAGTCTTCATTTCACAGTAATATATTAAAGCAAATACTCTAAGATATATGATAAGCATGATCATGACAGCATATTAGTTTGTCATCACATGTAATAATACCTCTGAAAAGTCATTTTTCTCTGCTTTTCTGATAGCAGATTCAGCCATCCAGTTCCTCAACACATACCGTGGGTTTACTCCTGAACAATAGAAACATTACAAATAACATTAAATACAACAAAACACATCGTAAAAAAACATACACTACCGTTTAAAAATGTACGGTCAGTAAAACTTTTTAAAAAAAGAAATTAATAATATTATTCAGCAAGGATGCATTAAAAGGGACAATAAAGACATCTATAATATTACAAAAGATTTATATGTCAAATAAACGCTGTTTTTTATAACTTTATATTAATCAAAACATGTATCAGGGTTTCCACAAAAATATTAAGCGGCCCAACTGTTTTCAAATGTTTCTTGAGCAGGAAATCAGCATATAAGAATGATTTCTAAAGGATCATGTGACACTGAAGACTGGAGAAATGACCACAGGAATAAATTACATTCAACTGAACAAATATATTAATTACACAAATACTGTATATTCCAATAGAATAGTTTATTTTATATTGTAATGATATCTCATAGTATAATAATACCTTGTAGTAACTGTTTTAATTGTATTTTTGATTAAATAAATGCAGCCTTGGTGAGCATTAGAAACTTCTTTCAAAAACAAATCTAACCAATCCTGAACATTTCAACGGTAGTGTAACAATATATAAACACATAATACATAACATTGCATCATAT